GATAATAAATTCGTGGAAATGCAAATATGCTTCATAAATTTTTTTGCAAATTTTTCGCGATTTTCAAATTTTTTTTTAACCTTTTTAACCTTTTAAGAAAAATCCTTTCAGCCGTTTCGAGTTTTTGCGAGACTAACGAACAGCAATTCATTTTTATATATATAGATAGATATATAGATATACGGGCATGTTCTGGCATTCACTTCAAGGGCAGAAGTGTATCGAACACACACCGAGGTATTCTGTAACACACTTTACACCCATTTGAGGTGTATTCTTTAGACTTACATTTTCATAGTGGGAGTCGGGTGTATTCATATTTTTCTATATAAAAGAAAATCTTTTTTGAAATAAAAAGGTCACATGATGATAGAATAATATGTTATTATTGCGTATAATTTGTTTAAAATCACAAAATTAAGATAAAACGCCCTTAAAACAAATTTTAAATAGATACTAAGGTTTGTGTTCCATTTTCTTCAACTGTATTGCTCGCTTGACACAAACAGCTGATTTGAAGTAAGGCCAAAGAAGATAGGGTTACCATATGATCCTCTTAAATCAATCAACAACTTAATGATATTACAGAGTCTTTCATACATTTATTTTATGTTGCGAATAATAAAATATTAAAAAATAATAGCAAAATTATCGTTAGAACTAACGAAATTAGTAAAAATTAGAGAAACCATGTTAAAAACGAATACAGTTTATAATGTATGGCAATACTATTTCTGCAAAGTACCATGTTGGCGTTTATTTTTGTCGCTGTTGAAAATTTCAATTCACGTGAGAACCAGAACAGGAGGTAACTTCTGAGGTGAAGTGTATGTGTGAAGTGAAAACAACACACCGTGAATTCCAGAACATACCCGATAATGTTTTTAGAAGATTGATAGAAATTGATAGAAATTTAAAAAACTATAGAAAGTTCCTTCGGATTAGATTAGGCATTTTAAAGTGGGGCACATTCGGGCATATACAGATAGTACTATATTATTTCCTTAAAATGCTTTTGAGTTTGTCTTTAAAAATAATACTTTAATATTGTTTGAAATTTCTTGTATTGAAGAAAATGCGATAGAAAAGGCTATTTCTAATGGGGTGTTTGGCCTTGAGATGTCAACGTCCGCCGCTAGAAAATATTGCCTTAAAAGTCAAACATTGAGTCGCATATTGAAACAAAATAGAACCTTAGAGGATCTGAATCAACATTTCCTTAGTTCCTTATAAAGGTTAAAATGTAAGTCAAAACTCGCTAGAGCTTCCTTGATATCTGAATATACAGTGGAGAGCAGAAGCGAGTAGATGCTTGTACATTGAGCACTTTTTACGCAATAAAAAAAGCAAAAGATCAAATTCAAATTAACAAAAAAACATAAAATTGTAATATAAACTCATGAATTTCTAAAAAAAAAACAGTGAGCGGAGCAGTATAGTCGGACGGGGCCGACCATACGATACCCTACACAACTACCACGAAACTCTAACTTTCTGCGGATGTTTCTGTCTAGCCAGGGAAATTTTTCCTCTTGCCTGATTGGAGGTCAACAGCATCTCTTCCTTACACTGACATATATTCCTAATATTACTAATATTCAGTACAGCCCTTCTAATAACTTGTCCAGATTCTCTTCACCGTGAGTTGTGTTGTGATATTCAGATTATATTCGAGTCGAAAACACACAAAAAAAAATAAGTTTTCGGTCCATTTCATCCCAAAATGTTAATCTGATCATCACAGAAAATTATATGTGTTGTCCTTGACCATAACTAAAACCTCTTGGAAAATTTCTAAGCCATCAGCGCTGTATTACCGTCATATATTGTGGTAATGGGTTACTAAATAATATCTGAATACATAAGTACATGTAAATATGGTAATGGGTTACTAAATAATAACTGAATACATAAGTACCTGTAAATATTTGAGTGTAACTCCCACATCCGACAATACATACGACAATATAATTGGTATCAATTTAAAGGTAAACCACTCCTCTTGGATATACATTAAACTTCACGGGTCTATGTCCTTCAGGAGTAAATATATACGTCATAGAATACACATTTTGTCATTTCCACACAAAAGTCAGGGTCCATTTGACCCGCTAAATATTGACCAATCTTTATCAAAACTGGCATGCTTATTCTTTGGCCCGATCCCCTTGTCCATGCAAAAATTCGCGGTGTATGAGTCATAAATGCGGCCTCTGGAGCGACCAGAAAAATCGACAAAAATAAAGTTTTTGGTCCATATCACCCCCTAAATATGAACCGATCTTTTCCAAACCCATGCTACATGCAAAATTTCGTGAAGATTGGTCCATAACTGTGGTCTGTATCGTGTTTACAAATTATAATGGACAGACGGACGGACACACATGTCAAGATCGACTCAGCTAGTCGAGATATGACGATCGGTATACTAAATGGTGGGTCTAGGACCAATATTTCGCGGCGGCAACATAGTTGTGTAGGGTATAAAAATAAAGAAAACCAAATCAAAACTCCATAACTTATTTAATTTTTATCCTATTATACAATAATTCGATAATTATTGTATATTTTAATGATCGCATTATTAGTATTCCTATCACATATTCGACATTTTATCTTATATTATACAGAATCCAATCTGTGGACATCAAATTTTATTTTAATATATGTCATAAAATGTATTATTTTTTGGACAATGTTTTTTGCCGACAACTTGAAGTGTGCGTGACCGTACGGGGCTACACAAAAATGTGGACCTATGTCATTTATAACAGCAATTATGCAAATGTTTCCTACTACTTACAAATCAAATTGCTCAAAATGTGAACATATCTTACATCGCGATTTAGAGTTAATATATAAAATTGGCATTTACATTAAGAACAAGATATCCGACAAGATTCTCCTGAAACACAAAAACGAAGTCGTTGTGAAATATGTTCGCTTAGTGGACATATGACAGCGTATATAAAGCCGAAACGACAAACTGGCTTATGACATGATACTCAGAAAATACCTGACAGCTCGCAGGTAATATTTCGCAGCATTAGATTTGGCTACAAACAAATTCTATTCATCGCAATGTTCCAAGGGATGATGAACCGAATTTTTAATATGGCGAAGGCTGATATAATCATTGGATTATATAATTATTCCTAAGTAAAAAGATTTCCTTGGATACCGAATAGATGAAGACGAAATAACTCCTGGTAAGTTAAAATTATTTACCATATAGAAATACAAAACCTCTGCGAACGTAACGGAAATACAATGAATTATGGGATTATGTGAATTTCTCCGGAAATTTAACATGGACTTCCAACTTATTTCTAATCCTCTGACCAAACTAACAACGAAAGCGTCAAAAACTAATTTTGTATGGGATCAAGAACTTGCGTTCGGACGCAAGTAGTGCTAGACTTGCTTTTTTGTCTTGTTCTAACAGTCATCTTGTAAAACTCGGAGCGATCGAATCTTTATTTTAATTAAATGAATTCAAAATTATTTTCAATTTCATATTAAGTCACACACATGCGAAATACTCACCGGAGACCCGATATTGTATATACAGTCGTGTACGGTTATAGCGAACTAGTAGAGATCAAGCAAATTAGTTCGTTATAGAAGAAATTCGTTATATCCAAGGTAAGGCAAAACGTAGGCAGAAAACGTTAGCAGAAATTGATAGGTTTTGGTTCATTTTTGACAATTTTAAGATGCTTCTCATTTCCTTTAATGAATCTAAAAGTGGATCAACTTTATCTTTATTTATTTTATATAATCTTTGTGTATATTTACGTTACGTCTACACCAATTAAGTATTAATATTTAAAATTAACCGTCTAAAATACAACTATGTACATAGCTTTGCAAAATTACCTATTAGAACAAGCTTGTAATATAATACCCTTTCATTGCAACTGTAAATTTACCAATCAAGAAAATGTATAAAAGGAGAGCGAAATTGTAAAAAGTCGTTTTTAAGGATGATTTTTTATATATACTTATGTAAGGAAGTTGTGTACACAGCACGCTGTTGCACTACTGTGTTAAGATTTAAAGTAGGCTAGTACACATAAATCATGTTTATTTATAGATTAATGTAAAGTTTAGCTATTTATTCTAATATGTAGGCGATGTATTTGATTAAATAAAATGGCATAGCCAAAAAGCAAAAGTAAAAAGTCGTTCATTCCTTTAGCGAGCTTTGAACACTACAATACAAATCCAGGTTTGAACAAGTACATGGGAAGTTATTGAGTGCATCGAAGTTCCTAATAGCAACAATGACAGTCATTTTACAAAAAAATAGAAAATAAAATGTTGTTGTTTTTTAAGAAGGCATACTGTTTCAATCTCTTATTCCAGTTCGTTATATCCGTAGTTCGCTATAAGAGTAAGGATTTGTATGAAAAATATGTCTTAAAACTTTGAGACCAAGAAATGTGTTCGCTATGAGAAAAGTTACTTGACTGTATATTCTTGATCAGAATAAAATTCTGTGTCAATTTATGCACCTCCGTTTGTCGGTGTGTTGCCTCATACAACGCTTTTTGGGGATTTTTGGAAAGTTTTTCAACCAGATTAGCTAATTTGATATTTTGTGTTCTCAATGAGTTACACATCCACCATTTTATAAAATCCCCATATGAGCACAATTTTATATTTTGCATTCTTATTGATGTGGAACACTATTTGAACATGAACAACCTACCACCACATAACGCAATAACATACTCCCCATATTTCAAATGAAATAAATTTTCAACCCGAAGTCCCCGAAACTAGCAAATTAGTTAGGAATGTTGCTAAAATTTAAAACATAATTATAAATTTAATATTGCAGCACTTCTGCTGAAGAATGTAGATAGATAGGACATTTAATTTAACTAACATCGAAGAAGCTGGCTAAATAATGTGAACATAGATAAATCGAAATGCACACAGCCAATTTGGTGGCGTATATTAGTTTTAAATACAATAACAACAATTTATATTACCTGGACTATTTTTGTCATTTCTTGAATGTCAATAACGCCGTTTCCGTCAACATCGTACATTCTAAATGCCCACTTCAATTTTTCTTCCGGGGTTCCACTGGATGTGACATCAATTGCAAGAAGAAATTCCTGTAATAAATAAAAATAAATTATTATTTTTTTTAATAATAACATTTATGTTAAACAAAATGCATTATTTAGAATATATAAGTTTTCCTTTTAACATTCCAGATGGATTTTATTCAGACATATGTTTAACGTTCTTCATTCATCCTTATTATATAAATAAAGTTTTTTATCATAATTCCCATTTAATTCCTACTAATGGAATGAGAATTTACTGTTAACCATAACATTACTAAGCAACACAAACAAAGTAAGAGAAAGTACAACTGGTTATGAATGAGGCGCTAAAAATTAAACATGCGCATAACAATGTTTTTTACGTTTTTGTTTACAATATTTAAGTTTCCGACTCATTGAATCGGTATTTTTAGTCGTGTTTCCATTCATTAAAAAATAGTTATCCCAGGTCAACAAAAGTTCGCCAGTTCCATATGCCTTAGAATAAAACAAAACTCGCTAAGGCTTATAAAGGAAAAAATCATAAAACAATAAAAATTTAACCACATTCTCCTCAAAATACAGTGTACAAAATTCGTATTCGTACACATACTAAAAAATAATGAATTTTCTAGCAATAAGCTGATTTTTCAAAATTTTATAAAGATTTTTTTTAATGGAAAAAACAAACGTATGTTTACCAAATTCATTATTCAAATTCATCATTAGATGGCAAAAGCCGTAGGAACAAGATAAAAACATTAAAGATATTATGCGTAAAAATTCGTATTTTGATGGATATAATTTTTGTTTTATAACAGCGCTAATACGTCCAGGCATTGTGTTTAACTTTAAAACTTAATGGAAACGAATCCATTTCCATTAAGTTTGTTAAGTAATTTTTATGTTCAAATTGACCACAAATTCTTAATAGAATAGATAGATATTATGCGTCAAAATTCGTATTTTGATGGATATAATTTTTGTTTTATAACAGCGCTAATACGTCCAGGCATTGTGTTTAACTTTAAAACTTAATGGAAACGAATCCATTTCCATTAAGTTTGTTAAGCAATTTTCATGTTCAAATTGACCACAAATTCTTAATAGATCTAAGCTTTGAGGAGGTGTCTTGAGCTATTTGGGACAGTTAAAATAAGTTCAAGTTAGAACTTTTTCAAATTTAATTTTAATTTATTTATTCACATTAATTGCAAAGTCCGCAGACCACATTTAAGAAATTACCAGTCCACAAAATCTCATAATTACACTTATAATAAACAATAATGCGAAAATCATCGACTATGAAATAAAACAAGAACATCTTAACAATCACCATAACAATTGCGGGCCAAGAATAATACATGTACATTTCACTAACTTGACAAGCAATACTGGTAAAAGTAGTAATTATTCAAAGAAACCCAAACAAAAATTTTGACTGCAACTAAGATTCTACTCGAAGATCGAGCAGAAATAGCTTTTAATATATAAAAATAATAAAAAAGTTACTCTATCATGTATCGTGGTTATTAAAACAGTATTAAAAAATTTACATAAATTGAGGCTCTTATCATTACAATAAAATTAATTAACAAGAATTTATAATTTATACAACTGTTATCACAAGAAGGGTGGGATCTACTCAAGTATCTGTAATAAAATTCATTTTACAATATTAATTAAAAGACAGAAAAAATAAATATAAATATAATTAAACAGGAAGGGGTTTACTCAAATAAATGCTACAGGGAGTATTATTAATTCTGGTTTAAAAAAAATAGAGAGTATCTTACAAAATTTAATTATATAGGATGGGGACTACTCAAAAGCAATTACACAATCACAAATGAATTAAAAAAAAAAACTTTTTACTATGAATTATTAGTACGTAAAAAGATATAAAGTCTATGTCGGTAAGCACTATGTGAGAGATGAAAGCTTCTTAAATGAAGTGGTAACGTATTAAATTTTCTTGCTACCAGAACATAAAACGATCGTTCTAAAATGGATGTTAGTTTTGGAACTATAACCTGAGGTTTTCTAGTTGATTTTGAAACGGTAAATTGTTTCATTAAGAAAATAGGAACACGGCATATATTAACTTTATAAAAATGCAAAATACAACGCCCGACAACGAAATCTCTAAATGAACATCCAATAAAATCAGAAACATATGACGACACATGATCTCGAACCTTTAGTGTATAAACAAAACGAATAAGACGATTAAAGACTAAATGAACCTTCCTTAAAATCCCAACCAATGTTCCCGGATAAACTTCAATACAATATAAAACAATTGGCATAACTAATGCATGCGCCAATTGCCGCCTAATTTACAAAGATAAGGAAAGTTCAACGCTGTACAACTTCCTTAAGAGAAAATTTACTTTCGATGTTACAGAATTAATTTGCATATCAAAATTTAGGTCTTTGTCAAGCCAAATACCTAAACACTTAACATGATCAACAAACTCAATGGAATTGATTAAATCAAATTTAATGGCTATAGTTTTAGTTGAACTAATAGCTAATTTATTGATACCCATCCACTGATTCAATACTGAAGTCGAATGATCAATAACTGGAAACTCATAACTACTTTTAAACAATATTTGGATGTCATCAGCAAACACATAAGGCTTACAATTAGCCGAAGAAAGCATATTAAAAAGATAATTCGTATATAGAATAAACAACAACAGACCTAATACAGACCCCTGAGGAACACCATTCAAAACAGGAAATAAACTAGAGCTACGTCCATTAGACGAAACCTATTGAAATCTTGAAGATAAATACGAAGACATTAGCCTACAAGCATTACCCGAAAAACCATATGAAGAATTCATTTTCCTAACAAGTAAATTATGATCGAGACGATTAAATGCTTTATCAATATCAAGGCGCAACAATCACGATAACTAACTGCGGTTCTAATAGAATCAGTTAACCCTGCCAACAACGAAGTAGTACAACGATTCCTACGAAAACCCATTTGACAATCATGGAGCAATCCATTGGATGAAACCAACTCCATTATTTGTAGCTTAATTAACCCTTTGACGTATTTCCACGAGTCTGACTCGTGGTACAATTTCTGTGCCTAAATTGATTATCACGAGTCTAACTCGTGGTGTGTAGAAGTGTACATTTGATGAAAAGAGTGCAATTTCCCGTTATTTTCAGCTAATAATGTGAACAAAAAAATTGTTGCAGTTGAGTACAAAGTCTAATGCAAATCAGTTATCTAATTATCAATTTTGCATCAAAACCGGTTTACTTAGTGCAAGTTGTGTGCTAACAGTTGGAAGCGAACTTCGTTGCGCTAATTGATACATCAAAGGACCAGTTTTCCCTTTAAACATATTACTATGGGCTACAATCTTAGCTTGACGTATGACTTTCTCGGCTTTGTTCCTATGCTTACAGAAAGTCCTCCAATTCTCAGGTGATGGATAATCTATGTAGGCCAGCCAATCACAGTCACGCAATGATAGGCAATATTTTATATTCGGCGAATTAAACCAGCGGTAGAATACGCGTCGACATCTACGCACAGGACACAAACTAATAACTTGATTAAAGCTGTTATACAAATAGACAATAGGAAATCAACATCATTAGAAGCATACATATCAGCGAAGTCAAACGTCGAAAATGAGTTGCGCAATGTTTCTGGATCTAAGACACTATAATCAGTGAACTCATAAAATTGCGACGGCGACGTATTAATGACACTTAGGGATATAAAAATAAACGAGTGACGAGAAATACCTGGACATTGAAACTAACTAGAAAACTGTACAAGATCAGGACACGATAACAGAAAATAATCAATGAGCGATGTCGAATCCTGCGCAATATCATAATGTGTTGGCAAAGAATTGTGGACTACTGAGAGACTTAAATTACTACAGCTATTTCTAACTATAACAGATTTCCTTAATTCAAATAAATTATTGTTAATATCACCCATTATTATCACAGTCGAATGTCTAACAACTAAATCTGAAATACACTCCTAAAACTTCAAGAAATTACCATGGGGTAAATTCACAATAACATCTTAGAACTACCTATAATAATTTCAACGAAAATATACTAAACTTCCCCATACAAACAACTGCGTTCAACTACTTTATGTTTAATTCCATTTCTCAAATATATTGCCACACACTCACCTCTACCTTCGGGGCGATCACTGGCAATGCGTAATTGTGAAGACAAAAAGCTGTTGTCATTAACAGTGGTTGGCAAATTGCTCATTAGAAAATAAATAAATATAACATCTTAGCAGAAAAACTGTTAAAATAAAACCCTGAATACTATCTACTCACAACATTATTAGGGTATAAAACTACTCCACATTCATCAAGAAGCTGCAAACAACGATCGATATCAATAAGATCGGACGCTCCCCTAGAAAATTTAACTTCAACTTTAGGCTGGTCTGAAGATTTTCTTTTGAAGATCTTGGGCACGGTTTTCAACAGCATTGCTTTTAATTTAATATAAGGGATAGTTCTTGAGCAGAAAATCTCTCTACTTAAAATTATCAATATTGGCCCAAGTATATTTGGTATTTGGCTGTAATTTTATATTTTGGATGATCGTCGAGTTGAAAATGTTCCTCACAAAATTTGGCCAAGCTTCCGAAAAGCCTCCATATAATTATACGATCCTTTGGGGATTTGGACACGTTTTTCAATCTAATAAGCTGTAATTGGTTGTTTTATTTGGTAGCATGAATCCTACTAAAATTGTCAACATCAGTTCACTCTTCTGTATTTTGGGGCGTTTTGTCACGTGTTAGAACAAAATTGGCTGTAATTTTATATTTTAGATGATCAGTGAGTACAAAATCTACTTACTAAAAAGTATCAATATTGATCCAAGTTTCCGGGTAGCACGCATATAATGGTATCCCCCATATTTTCCCATGTGGTGTCAAATCTTTATACCAACAATTAGTTAATCCCCATTCCCATTGTATGTCTAAATATAATAAAATATGTCATTTCGGGATATTGGGGTGAAAAACTATCTATTCAGGACCAAGT